CCCTCTCTCTGGTAGTAGGGCGGAAGTCGATCGCCACATTTTATCGAGTTTGAAGAAGCAGCGGCTTCATTTTGTGAGAGGCAGAGGAGAGGGAGGGTTAACATGTTGCGCTTTTCATGTGGCTGTTGTGAACTGCGTGATTTGTCTCTCCACTTTAAACTGTAAACCGTGTTTGTGGGAGATGTGCTGTATCAGCTCAGCTGCTTCTTCTCGCGGTAATGAAGCTGGATTACAGTCAGCTTGTGCGCGTAAAGTGAACTTCTTGACTCAGGGAACACAGTTTCAGATATAATAGCGAGCTTTCCTTATATTCATGTGACCATCTCATAGTTTTATCGTGTAGTCTCAGTTACCATTTTATTCGTTGAGTAAAAACTGCGTCTGTGGCTTTAAGAGCCGATCAACAGCAACAGGGGGCGTCAGTGATCAGTCAAGTTTCAGTTTCAAGTCAGTTGAGCTTCGCTGTTTCTTTTAGTGTTAGTACGGGCAGCCTGCCCACAGTTTAGAAAAAAGGAAGTAGGCTACTGAAGTTACACTGTGTACAGGGCTCTACGTGTATTCACTTGGTGGAGCAATAAACGAACAAACAGTGCATGCAGTTTTAAGTCTCGGAGCTGTAATGTGCAGCTGTCACTGTAGAAGAGCAACGAGCAGCAAATGATAAGCATGTGAGAACGTTATGATCAGAGTACTGCTACACAAAGAAACAGCATCACCTGAAGTATGCAGATTTACACTCAGCGTCCTGTATGTTAGGAACACCAAGCTCACACTGAGTCAGTCTAACTCAGAGGTCCTGCAGCTCATTTAATCCTCACTGATAAGAGTTCAGCAGGATCGCTGCTTATTATAACTGCTGCGGTCAGTTTTAAAGCCAGCGAGGATTACTTCTTACCAGGGTCTGTGTCCTGATTTTAAATTATTTTGAACCACGATCTCTAAATCCTCCGCCTGTCCCCACTCTGACAAAGAGGAAGCAGACGTTGAAAGAGAGAGATGTGACCAAAGCTGACCTTTGTGTTGTTGTCACAGACCGCGACAAAGACTAAAGTCACAGACTGAAATAAACAAGGAAAATAAAAACTATGACATGAGCTTCCCTGTTTCTCTCTATATATATTTTTGCTGGGGGTGTTTGTGAGGAATTTCCTTCCTCCTCTCTCCCCTTGATCACTGAATCACGTGACAGTTGGACAATAACAACACAGTAGGGCTGGAGGAACGGGGCAGACCCTGCGGAGACCCGAGTCCTTACAGGACAGAGAAAAATAATGATCCTTTCACATTAGCATTGATTTCATACCAGTACTGGGGTTGTATGTGCCATCTATATTTGGATCGATCCGCCCACCACTACCAAACAGCAGGCTGCAGAAATGTCGTCGGTTGTAGTTTTCTTCTCCCTCCCGATGTTGGTGGCTTCTGCGTTGAAAGGTGAGTGTCTTGCGTTTTGAGGTAACATGAACTGACAGGCTGCCAAAAGAAATGACTCATCCATCAAGGATGTAAACAGTGAAACTACGCACTGCAGCATTTTCACGCTTCCGGGGAAATGCAAACAGCTGCTGCAGCTCGTCTGATACCGTAGATGGAAGAAAATGTGAGCGAGTTTAGAAGGAATTTGCCAACAAAAAGAATGTTTTTGACGCTAACATGGTGCCAGGCTGCAGAGAAAGTAAAGCAGGCTCTGACGAAATAGATGAACAGAATCAACTTGTTGTTGATTTTCCAACTATTTATTTCTTTTCCAACTATTTATTTATGAGTGAAGTATGTATGTGTATATATGTATATATTGTACTATTCTTAGTTAGTGTATTGTCTGTCTGTCTTAATGTTGGTTTGAAAATGGAGCACTGTAACAAAAAATAATTTCCCCCAGGGATTAATAAAGTATTCTGATTCTGATTGTTGATGATTTTACTGCTTCCAAACTACTCCACTGTATATTAGATGGAGTATTGTACTTTGTACTCAATATTGTTTATTTTAAAACTTCTTCAATAATTTAAAATGTTGCCAGTTTTTTTTTTTAAATACATCTAAAATACTATGCTGTGTTATTAAAGTTTAAGCTACCAGGCAGTTCAGGAAAAACTTCTCCAGATGCAACATTAAAGGACTAGACTCATTAATGAAACATGTACACCGTGTTGTTAATAATGAGTACTTTTATAAATTTCAGCTCTTTAAGGACATTTGGAAGCTTAAAGTTTTCTTCTTGAATATCTATCAAGTCTAAATACTGCTTTTGCCACCAGGTTCAATATGAGTTGACATGGTGATCTAGTAAGGTTAGTAAGTAAGTTTAAAAGTCGTCCTTTATAGAGACAGAACATATATGAGTATCAGAGAGCTGCAGGAATCCATTACTTTGATTAATCCACTGATATTATTCAGACTTCCTCTGTTCAGTACTTCCTGACTGTCTACAGAAAGAAAAACTGCAGAGACAGAGTCCAACCTCCTCTTCTGCAAAATGTATTTCCAAGACATGCAGTATGAAACACTATTAATGCTTTTTTCTCCTCTTTGTTTTTCGTTCATACAGAGGTTTGTGTGAGGCCTGGACAAGATGCCACTCTTCAGTGTTGGGGTCCCAGAGATGCACACATCACCCTGCTGGAGTGGAGCAGGCCGGAGCTCATCTCACAGGGTTATGTGTTCTTCTTCCAAGACCAGCGCTCGTACGAGAACTACCAGCACGAATCCTTTAAAGGCCGAGTGCAGCTGAGAGACTCATCCATGATGGATGGAGATGTTTCTGTGATTGTGAGGAACGTCAGCATCAGCGATACAGGAACTTATGAGTGTCAGATTACAACCAGCAGCACCAGAAATGGCGAGAGAGTCGTCAAAGAGTTCAAGCACTCCATCAACCTCACAGTCACAGAGTCTGGTGAGTCTGCAGAGGTTCAGCTTACTGCGCTTACAGCATTGGTTACAGCAGTGTTTATGGGGGAGTGCTTTGGATTTCTGAAGTGTGGCCTTTTTTACATGCTCAGAGGGTCTCTGGAGGCAGTTTTATCAATCCTTGTTTGGTAAAGGAGAGTTTTGTATTTGTGTAACTGAAAACTCAAAGAAAAACACAGATAGGGTTTTAAATGTTTTCCCTTTGGTTCGAGGCATCTTTATACAGAAAATAAATACGATTAAATAAATAAGATATTGGCTCAGACTTTAGTTTGGCTCGAAAAGTCTTCATTACAAGTTTCAACAAAAGCATGCTTTTTTTTATATATATCTGATGTGTTAATATTTCGATCAAATGAGAAGCTTCTTGTTGTGGTAGGTTTTGACATGTTTGATACGGACTTCCTCGCAGTTATATTTATTGGTTGCTTTTTTTTTTTTTTTTGCATGCTATGGTTTGTGAGTTTTACATGTTTATTTTGATGCAGACACACAGCTGTACATGCGTGTCTGCCTCACTGAGCTCAAACGAGGGCAAAGCATGCAGCAGTTATTATTGGCCCAGAGAGAGGTCAAAGTACTCTGAATCTGTTGCTTCAGTCAAGTAACGTACACCTCTTATTGCTCATCACACTTTGCATGGTGAAATCAGCTGAGTGCATTCCACAAGTCCATGTGCTAACCTGGACTTGTGATCGGTATTTGTAGCTCTTCATGGTGATCAGTGCTGCAGAAATGAATGTTTGCACTTTGTTTTGACCTCTCTCTGCGTTCTCTCTTTCAGTTCATATAAACATCACAGCTGGACAGAACGTCATTCTGCCATGTCAAGCTCCAAATATCGACAGCAATTCCAAGGCAGTTGTAAAGTGGAGCAGAGCTGACCTTGGAAAACATTATGTTCTTTTGTATCGGGATGAACAGGTTGATCCAGACGAGCAGCATCCATCTTTTAAGAACCGGGTGGATCTGCAGGACAAACAGATGAAGGATGGAGACGTGTCTTTGATTCTGAAGCATGTCACGACTGCTGATAGTGGAATATACGAGTGTCGTGTCTTCAGGAGAAGAACAAACCGCAGGAAGAGAGCTCATCTGGAGACTCCCCCCATCAGCATCATCAGTCTAAGTGTTGATCCTCCAGGTGAGTGAGCAGAGTTGAGTGTGTGTGTGATCAGAGGTGAAGCTGCTTCCTGGTTGTTGATGTTTGTTTCTAAAGATGTTGTTGATGAGACTTTGTAGAAAGCAGCTGGTCTGAGTGATGTGATCAGAGTGCAGTAGATAATGTCTGACAGCAGTTTGATTCTGTTCTGTTCTTCACTCATCACCTACCTGACAGCTGACACTTCACACCTGTTTCTCACCTGCAGGTCAGCCAGGAGGACACACAGAGGATGGAGTCAGTAGAGGACATCCTGGACTGGTAGCTGCTTTGTCACTTTTTGCTGTGATTGCTTCTTTGGCGATCTTTATAAAACTAAAACCTCCTCCTAAAACCCTTACAGACGATATTTAGTCTGTTAACATTTTTTACTGTATTTTTCCACTATATTTTATACATATTTAGTTTTTTTTACTATCTTTTACTGTACTGTACTGCTGAGTGACTGTCTTCCTTTCGTCAAATATATTTAATTGCAATGTAGACCCTGTGCTTACTTGCATATGACAAATAAAACTGAAACTAAACTGAGAATGGTCTGTGGCATTTCATCAGACTTGGGGGCTTCGGAGCTGGTTTTTGTTGCCATTTTCCCCTTTACCAGGTTTCAAAATTGATTTTTTTTGAAAGACACTCTCATGACTCATTGAGTCACGCTGTTGACCAGCAAATATGAGATATGCAGTCTGACAATGTCACATGAACCCTGAGCAGGTATTATTTTAGTATCTGATACCAGGTAGTATTACCTAAAGGAAAACCCCGGTGAACAATTGCAAGTTGATTATAGTAGGTAACAATAAATTACCAAAGTAATAAAATTAACAACATTTATAACAAAAATAGTAGCAATAATATCCCTGAAAAGGATAAGCAGCAGCGAATGGATGGATGGATAGTAGCAATAATAACAACAACATTAACAATAACAGTAATAGCATGGTAATAACAATAACACCCAAAATCCACTGTTAATATCTGACACTGCAGCTGTTTTCAAAGATGAGCTCTTCAGGCACAAACATGCAGGCTGAAGTCTGTTGACTCTGCTTTAGGTAAGAAAACAGTTTTTGAATCTCAAATGTTTCACAGGTGTATTCAGTGACTGTATTATATTTATTCAATCAATCAATCAATCAAAATTTATTTATATAGCACATTTTAAAGACCGAAGTACACCAAAGTGCTTTCCAGTAAAATCATGATACAGATAAAAATCACAATATAAAATATAAGTTACAGATATAAATAAAATATAAAATAATTACATAATCTAAATGCAAAGCCAGATGTAAATTACCCTAATTAGCCTTGAATGCCAGGTTAAACAAATACGTTTTTAGACGTGATTTAAAAGACTGAATGGACTCTGATGCGCAAATATGAAGAGGAAGAGTATTCCATAACCTGGGTGCGGCAAGGGCAAAGGCGCGGTCTCCTCTGGTCTTCAGCCGAGACCTAGGTTGCACTAAGAGCACTTTATTTTAGAAAAAATACTTTGCACTTCATCCTGAGCTCTACATTCAAACTGGTTCAGTACAGCTGTACAACTGTAAACACACAGTATATGATTAAATAAATAATGTATAATATTGAGAGGAGTGCAGGGATGTAGCAGCCAGCTGGACGTCACTACACAGACTGGTTACACTGCGTTGAAGGCGTGTGGGTCAACTTCAGTGAGGAGTAGATGACCACTGGCTCTGGTGGAAGATCTGAACACAAACACACAGATTAGAGAAAGTTTAGATGTCAGGAGGTAAACATGAGAAAAACGTGCACCGGCTCTGTTTATTACAGAGGGGATATCCACAGAGTCACGTGAGCAGGAGGAGTTTAACACTGCAGGTGAAAGAATAAAAATAACACTGTCTTATACACTGTATAAGACAGTGAATTTCCTGAATTTCAGGATTTCTGCAATTACTATATGTATAAATATTTATTGTAGCTGTAATCAGATCTTTCGAGTCTGAATGACAGAGTTGTTGCACTGATAGACCAGTTCTGATGCTGGTCTATAAAGCTCTGAATGGTTTAGGACCAAAATACATCAGTGACCTCCTGACCCAGTATGAACCTTCCAGATCCCTCGGGTCATCTGGATCCGGTCTTTTATCAGTTCCCAGAGTCAGAACCAGACACGGAGAAGCTGCATTCAGCTTTTATGCTCCTTATATCTGGAACAAACTCCCAGAAAGCCTCAGATCAGCTGAAACACTCAGTTTATTTAAATCCAGGTTGAAGACTCACCTGTTCTCAGCTGCATTTAAATAAAGCACCAAATCCACACTTTTAAGCTTAAATTTCAAAACTTACACAAACTACTGATCTTATCTATTTTGATTTTATATACTGTTTTGTTTGTTTGTTTGTTAATTAGTTAGTTTGTTTGTTTGCTTGTTTTAATCAATTTTAAATCATGCTTTTTATTTGTTTTTGTTTCTAATGTCTCTGTAAAGCACTTTGAATCACCTTGTTGTTGAATTGTGCTATACAAATAAACTTGCCTTGCCTTGATACCTCTGCTAACTTACAAAAGGATTCCTTGTATTTCCACCTCTTTTCTGACTAATTTCATCATAAATTTTCATAGACCTTCTGCTCATTATTTTAATTTTATGGTCCACAATTTGTAAAATTGTAAAAATACCATTTTTAAAAGGCATTAAAAGCATATGTATATTGGAATTTTTTTCAGCATTCAGTCTAGCAGTCAGTTTGCAGACTGCCTGATTCCTCCTTACCTGTAGAAGATGTGGTATTAGGATCAGGTTGGATTTGGAGGTGAGGGGCAGTGTCTTGTATTGGACAAGACAAGACAAGACTTACATGAAATAAGCTACTAATCCTTTTTTCATAACTCTTAATTGTTTTGCTGTTTTTTTGTTTTTTTAATGTTAGAAAAATTTTACATTGACAACATTGGGTTGTGTTTTTCATGCATCTTAGCATATTTTAAACTTAACCTAAATTTTCAGAGTCCTCGAAAATGAAAAAGAAAGAAAGAAAATGCATATGTTTGCCAAATGTGTTTCCTCAATAATGATTAAAGTACAATTGAAGTACCAAAGTTGCTCTATTAAGGTTACTGTAAAATTACATATTATACAGAAATTTTCACTATTTGTCTTTTGCACGATAAAGTTTTTATAATTAGTGCATGCTCAAATATGCCATTTTGCAGCACTGCTTGAATGTTTTTTTTTTTCATGATTTAACCAGCCAGTAGGAAGTATCTTTGTATATTTGAATTTATATTTATATTTATATACAGTATATTTGAAGTATCTAACTCAACAGATCCTGATTCACTTTTATAGTAAGAAAGGCCAGCTAAAGGGTTATATATTTAATAGTACATGAAATTTTCATGTTCAACATTGCCTCAGATTTCAAAATGCGAAAAAAAAATCATATATTCACACCAATTTATATTTAAAGAACATTTTTTCATACTATATTTACATCACATGGTTTCTATCTCACACACAAACCCTGATTTCTCTCCAGAAGTTGTGTGTCTCTTCACATCATATCCTTCTAAAATAGTTTTCTCTTCCTTTGTATTAGACCAGTCTGACATGTGGAGCTGATAACCACCTTCATCTCGCCAGGTTAATCCCTCCACAGTGCAGAGGAACTAATGGTGCTTTTCACTGTGTTTGCTGCTGCAGGCTGAGATCTGAGCTTTTTAAAATTTTGATTTAGGTTTGGAATTTTTCTATACATAAGGGAGATTTTGAAGTCAACATCGAAGAGCTGTACCTCTCTGTCTGCTGTTTGTCCTGATGGTGATTTCCCCATAGGTGATGTCACCTGTTCTGTGCACTGATGAATAAACTGCAGGTGGATTACTGACTGCAAAACAAGACAAAGTCATGTAACAGACACATAACCTTTTATTTTAGGATGAAATAAATCTATAATAAAATTTAAATCTCTGAATTACAGTTGAAAAGTACAGAGACATATCCAAGCTTTAAACTGAAGGAACTTTAACAACTCTACTTAGTTCTTAAAACAGGAAGCTTAATGGCCACAGAGTTGCTCATGTGTCAAAACAATGTAACACTTTGACACACTGCATCTTGTAAAGGAAACAAACTTGCAAACCTTTGAAACTAATTTAAAATAAAATTACGAGCAATAAATTTGTATCTGATAGCCTGACGCTCAGAGTGAAGTCTCTCTTTCAACTTCTTTAACACAGGGTGGACACAGCTGCGCATGGGCTTCAGTGTTTTCCAGCTTTCTGCACTAATTGTATTTCTTTATAAATATTCTGATTTCCTTTGGGTCCCTCTGCTGTGTGCTTTGTACTGCCTGTGCCGCTTAATTTAATAAGGAAGTCCTGAGGTTCTTTCTGCCTGTTGAAAGGTCACCTCTAAATGCAAATAAGTTTTTTTTAATAATATGAAGTTTTATCTTTTGAAAAACTCCCTGAACAAACTTTGATTTGTGTGTTGAGCATGTGCAATGGACTGAAATCTTTTAAAGCAATTTTTAATCCAACTAAATCTCCACCTTTTAGTCAAGTGTGTTGTTCTTATAACAAACAATGATCTCACTTAATTGTGCTACCATGAAATAAACAAACACAGACAAAGAACTGAATGAAATGATGATTAAAAAAAATTAGAGGCTGACCTGCAAGAATCACCAAAATCTGAACCAAATGTTATCACAACACATGATTATCTAACAGGAAGGTTGATCTGTACCTCTCATCATCTTTGATCCATGTTGGCCTTCTGCTGTTGTTTTTCTCACTGATGAGTGAGTGACAGCTGCTGCAGGATCTCTCTCTGCAAAATCAAATGCAAAGATTTTCTAATATTAATAATGTTTTAAATCATTAGACAAGTAAAAACTGGGATGAATTTGAAATATTTTTTCCATCTTTTTGTGATAGAAAATAAAAATAAATAAAATTAAATAAAATAATAATACTGACACTAGACTGTAACAGATCTGCTACTTCTTCCACACAATGACTTGTAGTTCACACAGGATTTGGTCATAAACTGAAGCTTTGAAAATACTGAAAATATTGACCTGAGCAAACACCAATGTCTGAAAAATGTTTGGAGTTTTTAATAACATATTTATTAAAAACTCCAAACATTAACTTCTTAGATTGAATAAATAATAGGTTTATTGAAACCTCAGAGGAAGATTAAAGTTTTGAGCGTTTACCTTGTAGGAAACTTGTACCTCTTGTCCTGTTTGACCCATTACGGTCACCTGCTGATACTTTTCTCCCTGATAAGTAGGTGTCACCTGCTGCAAGATCTCTCTCTGAAAAGCAAATGGAAACAATAGAACTGTTGCTGATGTTGTTTCATCATTTGGAATATTAATATTTATAAGGCGGTTAATTATATTTAAAAATGGAAAGTAAAAGAAAGATTTAATTAAGTATAAAGCTGCATGAAGCCAAAAAAAAGTAGAACTATTTCTATCGTTCGGAGTTCTGTGGTGAAACAACAAGTAAAGGTTTGTTTTGTTCTTTCAGAAAACAGGAAACTGGACGGCAAAAGAGCTTTGCTCACATTGACACTCTGACCACAAAATCTCACACACAGCATCTCAATTCAGACACAGGAAAAAACTAACTGAACTAACTTAAGTATGTGATGCACAAATATAGCATTTGCACTGTAGTGACTTTATTTTAACTCTCTGTGGCTCAAATTTGTCCTCAAAAAGACAAAAGTGTGAAAACTGCACATGCTGTGCATCATGTAAAAAATTTTGACAGGAACAGTTCACCCCATAATCACACCTACATGTGTTTGGTCTGCAGTGCTGTTTGAGTTGCTCACTGTTGGGATTATGAGCTGTAGAGACAACGCTCAATGTGTCAAAACTCAACAGAGAAAAATTGAGTTTTAGGTGATCTGTCTTTCAAAACTAGTATAATATTTAAGCATTAAGCATTATATTTGAGCAGAATGTGACTCTTACCTTCAGGTTTTCTCTTGACACATCGTCTCACCAATACAACCAGTAAAACCAGCAGCAGCAGCACTCCAATTATGGAGGGAAG